AAAAAGATTTTTTTTCCGGAGGGGGGTTTCTACCTTTTTTGTGGGACCAACCTTCTTTTTTTTTCCCTTCTCCCCTCTATGTCTTTTTACCGCCCCTGCCCCCCCCCCCCCCCCCCCCCCCCCCAAATGGGATGCATCGCCCATGATTTGTGCCGTGACCAAAGGTCACCCAAGGGCTTTTTAAATTTCCTTATGAGCCCAGATTTAGACAAGCTGTGCAGAGTTTTTGTTGACAGATTGACAAGAAGATCACCTCAGACGACTTCCCTTCTGCGATAACGGCTTCTTCGTGGACCACAGCCCCGAATAGCAGATTAGAATGAATCCTCGATGTCAAACTTTGTCAAGCCCCCGATGGCTTTAGTTCACCTCGATGTCAGCGGAATGAAGGCATAAACCTCCAAGTCCCTTAGCCCTTTCTACCACATGGATAGAGTCTTTGGCCAATGCGTGAGCCTGACCTGGCATCTACTGTCACCCCGCCGCAATATTACAATAATAGCTGACCCTATGTTGGGTACTTGTGTGAACTTGTTTGAACTTGCGAGGCCACCTGCAGAGACCAACCGAACTCTCGACTTGGTGGAACCATCTGAAGAAACTCGAAAGACAGCATTTGTCCAATCGTAATGCTGGCTTTATCCAGTCTGTGTTTGATCCCAGTTAGCTACCCGATGGATGCCATATAATATGACATTGTCGCTTCTTCAACAACAGGCTTACCTCTACGGAGCTTGGCGGACAAAACCATACCTCCAAGTCGTGGTAGGCCTCTGGCTGCACATCGTGCGACATGGACAGCATTAGACAGCGAACGGAAGGCATCGGCCTGATTTCTCCTGTCGACTTCTTCCCCCACCAGGCCTCCATTCTGCTGTCAGCGCATCGCCAGACTCAGTGTCGTCACAAGCAAAAAGTCGACGGTGATCAGAGGACTGCTACGCGTCTGTCATTTTTGCGTCCATTTTCCGCATCATCTCTTCCTCCTCATCGAGGGCTTTGTCGCCATTCCCAGTATGGACACCCCTCCTCCTCATTTCTTCGTCCACCTTGTCCCTCGTCACCATGCCCTCGCACATGAGACTGGGTAATGTCTCCTGCTGCTGCGTGACCCAGCCTTCCAGACTCCGCATGCCGACCACGAGAAAGCCAAGCTCCTCCCGGTCGACATCAAAGACTTCCCACCACTCGCACTCCGGCATCTTGGCCTCGAGGTCTTTCGCCGCGTTGTATATTGCTGCCGTCGCGAGCGCGTTGGGTTGATGTGTCAGGTAGAGCATCTGTGGTGACAGCAGCGCTGTGTTCAGGTACTCAATCGTGCGCTTGCCAATCTTGCCTTTGGGCAGTCCTAGAAAGTCCAGCGTCTGCAGATATGTCACTCCCAGGGGATGTGGTAGCGACACGTGCGTGTCGAAGGACAAGGCGTAGAGTATGCGCGCCTCGATGGCGAGCATTCGGTTCTTGAAGGCGAAGTATTCATCCTCGGGTTGGTAGTAGGCCGTCGGGTCTTGGTCTGCTGGTGGTTTGCCGCCGTGAAAGAAAGCTGAGCCGGGTGAGAGAAGGTATGCGTAGACATTGGAGAGGTCGCGTTGTGATCGTGGGAAAGAGCCCATCTTGGCGACAAGGTAAAGGGAAGCTGCCGAGGCGTCCTGCGTCTTGTCAGCTCCGGCGCAAACTTGAGAGCAACGCAAGGAGGGTTGTCATACGCTGAACTCGTAGGCCATGGGAGGCTCAACAAGCCAATATCGGGCAAGAATAACGTTGGCTTGGGCTGTCGTGGACTGCGGCAACTCCAGGAGCATGCCGGCAGCCTGTGTCAGGCATTGTGTTGAGTAGAGGATGATGTCCTGGAGATCTGTTGGCAGCGAGCTGAAAGAAGTTCGACGATGTAACTGCGCGGCTGTTGCCAATGAATTAATCATGTGCGCCATGGCTCAGGATATCGAACTCAGCCTGTGACGCTTCTTTCTCGTCGCCGATCTCCAGGTTGTCGCCAGTGGCCTTCAGCTTGCTATCGAATTCACCTTCTCGACGAAAGAACGGGCAAGACGCGACGTCATGTCATTGGCCAAAGCTGTCTTCTCTTCACTATCGGCAAGCGCCATCAGCCGCGCCTGTCGCGCGTCCGGGTTAGGGTCAAGTGGCCCAAGCTCATCCCCACAATGTACCTACCTTGCTTGCCCGACCTTCCAATCCGACCCACTCACTACCCATGGACGACGACAAGCGAGGCGAGGCAGCAGCTACGTAGGCGGAGAAAAGCACCCAGTCGCAAACCAAACACTGTCAAACGCAGCAACGCACCCACGGATTCGTCTCGGGCACTGCGAGGAATACATCCAAAGGACACTCGCAATTATTATCTCGGCTCTTCGAGGCATGAAAGCTACCGCCTGAATACCGAGTACCTGCCCGAGCCATCACGATTATCCCCGCATCTCCCGACTTCGACCTGCCAACCTAAGCCCACGCCATCACCCTTCGTTCGCCCAACGTCCAATATCCGCGACCTCAATCCGACCGAATTTCCACAATGGACTACAGTGCATCAATGCAAGACGATAACCCCGCTGGAGCCTCGCCCTGGGGCAATTCGCCTGCCTCCTCGCCGCGCCAGGCCAAGACGGGCTTCGGCTCGGTTCTAGGCAGCGAACCCCCAGCGTCTCCCTTTCGCTACAATTCCACATCCTCCGGCAATGGCCTCTCTCAAGATCAAGAAGGCGGTTTCGAGAGCCAGGATTCGTTCCGGAGACCTGGTACGGCGAGCTCCGCGTCTGGAACCGATGCCGGCACTGAGGACCTCGAAAGCACCGAGTCGGCACCCGAGAGCCAACGGCAGGAGGCCACGGAACCTGCCGAGCAGCAGCAGCAGCAATGCGGCTCCGACGCGCCGCACCTGCCAGCCGATCAGGAACCTGGCAGGCCGGCGGCGCATGGTCAGCAGAGCCAACGGCCACCGCAACCCCAGCAGCCCCAGTATAAGCTCATCGCAAAGATCACTGGCCTTGAGAGGACCGGAAAGAAGGATCCTCTCTTGAGGTTTGATGTTCATGTATGGACAACCCAATGCTATGAGATATTTTGTCATTGAGCCTTGCTAACCATCGGCAGACTAACAACCCGAGGTTCCGAACCACACAATACCGCGATGTGCGCCGCCTTCATTCCGAATTCGTCAAGCTTGCCGAGCATCTGATCTCTGCCAACCCAGACTCGCTCGTCCCGGCGGTACCCCCGGCGCTGACTTCGGCAGGTGCTGGCACGGACGAGGACGAGAACAGGGTCAAGGCGCTGATGCAGCGCTGGTTCAACTACGTCTGCAGCAGTGACACCCTGACGAGGGATGACGAGATGGTCCTATTCGTCGAGAGCGACTTTGGCTACAGCCCCATGGTAAAGAAGAAGCAGCCCGCTACGGGCGTGCGCCGCAAGATTCTCAAACAGTTCGCTCCGCCTCCTGACGACACGCCAGAGCTTCAGGAGGCTCGGCCAATCGTCAAGCTGTTCTATCTGGGCAGCATGGATGCTGGGCACAAGGTAGACAAGATGGTCAAGTGCCGCCGAGGTGAGTTGGTATTTCTCATATAACAATGTAGCCAGTTACTGATGCGTCTCAGGCCTCGGATTGGCCGAGTCGGACTTTGGAGTCAAGCTCGGAGCGATGAACGTCCAGGAACCACACCCTGGCCTGTCCAACGCCTACCGGAAGCTAGGCAAGGTCATTCAGACCGTCGGCGACTATCACGCCGCTCAGGCAACAGCACAAGCCACAACCATTGGAGATCCCTTCCAGTACCACTCGACTGATGCCTTCATTGTTAAGGAAACCCTGACCAACAGGCAAATCCTCACGCGCGAGTTCATTCAGGCGCAGGAGAACACGCGCAGCAAGCTCAACGCGGCTGACCGCCTCAAAGCGAGCTCTAACGTGCGCCGCGAGAAGGTGGACGAGGCCATCACGGCTCTCGACGACGCACGCCAGAACGAAACCCACCTATATCAGAAGACGACACGCGTGACCCAGAACCTCGTCCAGGAGCGCCGCAAATGGTTCGGACGCACGGCCGCCGACCTGCGCCTCAGTATTCGCGAGTATGTCCTCCGCGAGATTGACGCCGAGCGCCGCACCCTCGCGCTACTCGAGAGCGTTCGCCCAGACATTCGCTCCATTGACGCCTCCGGCGGCCTGAGCAGGCTCGGTCGTGAAGCGCACCCCGCAGTGCGTCGCACGAGCCTGGCCGCCAGCCAAGGCCCCAAGGGCGATGCTTGGAGCGGCGTGCCGAGGCGATCCGAGGTCCACCGCACCCTCTCGAGCAGCGTGATGCCTGGCCTACCTGAGGACGGCGAGGCCGACGATGCGCAAGGCGCAGGTCACGGCAGCGCGGCGGGTGCTCGCGGAAGCCTAGCCGAGGAGGATGACGAGGACCGGATCGATGCGAGGAACGCGGCCAGCCGATTGGCGACGAGCACGTTCTGATAGCTTAGTGCGGTTGGCGGCAGGCAAAATGATAAAGGCGACGGTATGCCCTTGGTAGTGTTGTGAGTGGTCTAGTTGGTGTCGGCGGCAGCAGTGAATTCCCAAGCCTCATTGTTTCTTTACCCCTCCTCTTTACCTTCCTTAGATGGAGTGATTACCATGAGGCCGATTGTTGATTGATGCCTTACGGTAGACGAGAGATTCGCAGGCATGACGTGTTTATGCTGTGTCTGTCATGCTGTGTCTTTCCATGCATGCGTTGTTCGACACACCAGTCTATCTTTCGCCTCACGTATCGAAACGAAACAAGTCAAGACATGTGCTTCCGTCTAACCCGTATCGCAAGCTCCGCATCTCGGTCGCGCAGCGAAAACTATGTCAAATAGGTCCGCGTTCCGAACCTTGTAGCTGGACGAGATATGACGAATGCAGAGGACGAAAAGTATGCCTCCCCCGGCTCTGCCTCCGGGTGCCGGTGGAGGGTATGTGGTAGCAGCCCACGGGCAGGATTGGCTGGTTGGTGCATGTCCGACCCGACCCCCCTCCCTCCGTGACGCACAACAATGCTGCTGTTGCTCTCGTCGTCGGTCGCCTACCTACCCTGCCGTGACACGCAGGTTGCAGCTGGGAGACCGCTTGCGCATGCTGCATGCACAATCTTCCCTTGCTCAAGGTAGGCGAGGTAGGTAGGGAGGTACCCAAGTTATCTACCGCCATAGAGGGTCCATATTGCAACATCGACCGCCTCCTCCTTCTGGAAGAGAGGCACAGCGGCCGCTTCAAGAGGGTACTATGTAATGTGGCAAATAGGGGACTATCACACTGTACCAAGCCGTCACATGCCGCTGGCCACCGTCCTCGGTCTGTTCCGATCGGTATAGATTAGCGGTGAGGGAGGCGCCAAGGATGTGTTGAACGCAGGATGGTGACCTGAAGCACTCTGACCTGAAGCACTCGCCGCCCGCGCAAGAAAACATGGTCGGCTGCGTGGCACTGCACCTGGTGTACCACCCACCTTTCGGTGAACGGCATTTACCCGTTGGCCATGGTTCGGACTGTGCTCTCCCAGCGCCCGAATCGGGAGCTTCCCAGGCCCCAACCGAATACATCAACACTGTGAGATAAGGACGACCAATGATTTGGGCAGATGACTGGGTGGTCTCGGTCAGTATTCGCGCCATAAATACGACTCGTTGATCTATATGTACCCAAGATGTCGGTCAAGCTTTCTCCCAGCAGCATGTCGTGGTACTCGAGCTGCAGCGAGCGACAGTCTGTCATCCCATCTTGTCACAATTGCCAGATACAGGCAACCTAATGTGTTGAAGCTCGACGCCAGCATGTGGCAATCTCATTGACAATAGGTCTCCGCGGCTGGTCAAAACGTCCGTTCCCAAATCGGACTTGCGACCGAGGGAAATCTCAAGCTCGCAGAGTCGTTGAGGAGTGTCAGTTTTCGCCCCCAGGGATGCGTCTATGACTCGACCTTGACTATCAGTTTTTCAAGGCTGCATATCCCTTCACAGGTCTGACAAACGTGTCAGATATGCCAGCGGTGTTGGATCAATCTATCTGACATCTGCAAATCAATCTGACTGCGTGTGTGTCTCGAGCTTGATCCCGGAAACCTGGTCAGGCCTTGCAGTTTGGTTTAGCCTCAATACTGCAGTGAGAATGATGGCCAGAGCTTTCCCTTACGCCTCAGCATATTCTATCGTTGCGTCGTTGACCACACTCAGGCCTCAAACGTCAGAAATCCCCGACTGATTTGAGGTGGATACCATGCTGAAACTGAACGCAGGGCGATGGCAGAGTGTTTACTGGCACAGCGGGTTCTCAGAGCCGGCGGCCCTGGTGCCAATGACAGGATTACGTACCGACGAGCCGGAGACAAAAATATGGCTGTTCTTGGCCTTTGAACTCAAAGAGGGGTTCGAGGGGTTGAAGCCTTGAACCCCAAGAGATTCCCCAAATTAATTCCGTCAAGAATGCTGGCGGCTAATTACTCCTCTTGTTGAAAGTGGAGAAACTCTTCCCCAAGGGCCCAGGGGTTGTGTAAATTGAGTCGATCTGGGACTTTGATCGATGCCGGCTGCCCAAGTTATCATCGGTGTTGATGGTTGTGATCATGGAAGTACTGTTGAACATAATTTATGAGGCATGGGAGCATTGCACTTGTTGTTGCTCAGCAGGCACAACCGCTGTACTGGGGTCATGTTATGATGTGTGGCTCTCACCATGCAGTGCCATATGCGCTTGATGTTACTGCTAGTCAATAACAAAAGCAGGCAAAAGATGCTAGCACATGACCGTACTGCGTCATCTCAATAAGGATCGCTCTGCTATGCTCCAAGTTGGATCACTGGAAGTTCGGAGTACTACATGTAGGTGCTTGGAGCTGGTGTGACAGCTCTGATTCAAGGACAGTAACAGGGTTCGGATGCAGCACCGTGCTTGAAATCCGATTCGCGGGATATTATCTCTGTACTCTTCGGGCGTGGCGACTGACTGGCTTCCTTAGTCGCGCCGAATTCGATAGCAGACGACATGGTTTATCGCCATGACTCGATGTGGCTTTGTTATTGTGTGAAGGCATCGCGGTGACTGAGGGCGGTGCCAGCGACTTCGATAGGCCGCAGGGCAGATCATTCCTAGTCGAGTCCCTGCGCGGGCGAGTTACCATTTCCGAGGCCTCAGGGTCACTCACTCCTTTCTGCAGGACCAAATCGCGGACTCC